TAACTTCAAACCCTATTTTTGATATAACCTGATTTCTTCTAAAATGTTGTTATGTAATGTTATGAAATGACACGCTCTGTCACATTCTTTATTTTCTTTCAAAGAATCAAATTATTTTGTCATTTTGAGTTACACGTGAAATCTGATTGTCATGACACCAAACACTTCGTGAACAGGTTTGAAGAGCCGCGGTCCAGGGTAATACTGCCACCCCAGAAAAAGTTCGACTCATAAGGAATTAGAGATATTTACGGACACAATAATGTTTCGCCGCTTCCAACTAAAACGATTTGTAACAAAATTTGAGACGCTAATTTTTGGTGTCAGAAAGGCGAAATTAAATAGAATGGAGGTGACAGAAGTGGCACTTGATTTTGTCCGAAAGAGTTGGCACTCCTGCTCCCCAGCCACACACTGAACGACGAAAAGTAGGAAGGCGTCGGTTTAACGGTTCTTTGGTTTGAACTGCGAAGAGCATCTCCCAAGTTGTTGTCATTAATATTTGCTTCCTTGCTAATTTGAGCTTAACAGAATGTGCCTGCAACGTTAATAAAGTGTAGTGTCTTGTTTCGCAACTGAAGCGGCGTACTGCAGCAAGCAGCCCGCAGTCTCAGTAGGTAACGACGCTTAGCCTCCTAACCCCCCTATCTAGGTGAGTATAGTTATTGTGTTTTCTTCAAAACTGCCTTTACTTGTGTATTACATCTCTTCCTTATCAATGCAGGCACGAGTGTACTGTACTTCGCACTTCAGAGCTAACAAGAAAACTTCATATCCTCTGCTGTGGATTTTTTTGTGGATTGTTGTGCATTGTCCGCACTTGGTATTTCGTACTACAACTTCTATTTTGCTGCTGCTCTACAAATAAGGTAACCAATGAACTCTTTTAAGGTCTGCTTAACTACTCAAAGAAATATTTTCATATTTTAAAATATCACTGATACAGGGTGAACCTAATGTGGAATCTCACAAAGTTAAGGCGGACTACTTAAACTACTCCAATACAGGTATTAAACATTTCACCTCAGTTTTGCTTTTCAGTACATTTTCCCTGAAATGTATTAATTCTTTTCCTTTTTTTAAATTAGTTATCTACGACCACATCTGCTGTGTGAGTACGTTCACTGAATATAGCCAGTTTGCTGCAACAAGAGTGTCGCAATATCTACGCAGTGAGGTTAAATAAGACAAGGAACACATTTGCAGCAGCAAAGTAGCAATGTAAGTACCTCATATTTAATTTCTTAAACCTAAATTCAATCTGAGTTTCTTTAATCACAAATTCTGTCTTTGCAGGTACAATCGCCAATAATTGCTTCAAACACAAGCCAGCAAGAAGAGACATATTTTTATTTCATAGTTCCTTTTTTCTTTTGAGTGATTTTTTGAATATTCTGACCTGCGAATTCGAAGTTGGTTTTATGATCTTTGCAATGCTTCAACATTTTGCCCGCTTCTGTTATTTATTTTTGGTTTGTATTAAAACTGCAGTGTCAATTTAACTTGACTTGTTCAACTTATTGATTTATTCATCGCCTTATGTTGCCGGCCGATACAAGTCACGCGAGGTCTGCGCTTAACGTCTGTCAGGTGAGAGGTACAGAGGGGCCTCCTAACCTCGCACTTGCCAGGCGGTCAGCGCAGCCCGAGCGGACGGTAGTATCGGATCGGCACTCCAAATTGGACTGATATTCATTCCAAATATGAGGATATTCACATCGAAATAAGAGCGGAAACCCAGCTAAAGTTGAGGGCGTGCACATCACAAAAACATTGCTCGGCCGCCGAAAAATAGGCATACACCCCTCGCATTAACAGCGGGAACCCAGCTAAAGTTGAGGGCGGATACATCGCAAAGACAGTGCTAGGCCCTCTAAAATTCCGTGCGTTCACATCTAAAAAAAACATCTAATTGTTGGTAGTGGTCGCGACCATGGTCGCATTCCCATCTAAATTTCTCCCACCCATCTAACGAGGTGAACACGACCAACGACTTGGTCGTGATTTTGCCAAACCAACCGTTAGATGGACTCGCGACCACAACTTTTAAGCGTGTACCTGTTGACTTGCATCTGCTGCTCTTGCCTAGCAGGTGGTTGAGGTGGTGTCTCCGGCAATAAGATCTGGTGCACCTAAGACAGGGGTCCCGGCTAAGCGGCCCGCGGGCCACTTTGTTGTCATTCGCGCTCTCTCACTCTTCTGGGTCACCCATAAGTCTGTCTCTCGCACTGACTAGTGCTGTCGTTATCCGTGACCCCTGACCTAAGACAAAGTTTCACGATAAATTGAGACAAACAAAAGGCAAGAGGTTACATTCCAACATATGGATTCATTATTCAACTATAAGTTAAAATACAGGACTTACAGGCCGAGCAGCAGACTGCTCGAAAACTCTAATGCAGTAAGTGCTGACAACTATTGTCAGCCACCTCTGAAAGTCTCCTGAACTTGTCCGATGCATCTCTCAATTCTGCAAATGGAGCCATGGGGCTAAGGTTAGGAAGTTCTTAAGGGAAAACAAATTAGGTCTATCTATAATATTGATCAATCCGTTGCATGTAAATAATATTACCTCTTTTCAGTGACCTGACTTCCTCTTTGGCTTTCTCGGCTGCTGCACAAGTTTTTCTAAAGGAGTCTTTCAGCTAAGGCACATCTGTTGGCATAAAATAAATTATTGGCATGACTAGTTCAGAATAGTTTAAGATACTAATAGCAAAGCAATAAATAATTTACCTTTGGTAATTTGGCGCAATGTCCTCAGCCGAACATTATCATCCCTGTAGCGCTTATTCTCCTGCATCAGGGTAGTACATTTCATTATGAGTGCTTTGGCACCCATTCTGTACACTGACTCATCGTCAGAATTATCAGCTGATGTCTCCTGTTAAGGCAGTGAGGTGTTTTGGAGTAATGGTTATGGTCAGTAATTACATGGTTCACGGTGGTTCTAGTGTGGAATGATAGAGATGCCTACTGTAGTACATTTGGTTTATTGAGACCTTTGCCCTAACGGTCCCAGACAGATACCTTTACATTGTAAGCAGCCTAGCTCGGTGGTTACACGCTGAGAGGGAGACCTGACCCTGGCTGGAGCTAGCCGACGACGGACGACCAAGCGCCCCGGGAGCGCCGGCCCGGTCCAGGTAGCGTCGTCGCCGCCCTAGACCTTTCCGCCCGCACCCGGTCACTATCGCTAATCCTCGAACTCAATATAGTCTCCAACGAGGGGTCCCTACTTGGGTCTGTCAAAAGATAAGCAGCAGTGCGCATAGGGCGCGAATATTTAAACTGGGAGGAGCCTTTACGTCGTCCCACGACATAAATGGCCTCCAAACTATTCTCGACCCCGAGAATCGAGGAATACAAAACCATCGAGAGAATAAAATCATTAATAGAAAAAATAAGCTTGAAGTTCAAACAAAAATGAAAATAGGAGAAAAAGTAATTCAGTCTTGAATGAAAATTCAACTAAGCCTGGACAGCCCATATAAATGAAACATTTAAAAAAAATCTAAGCTAACTAAAAATCTTGAAGCAGGGAGAAAACTATTTGCCTAACGTCTTGAAGGAAAATGGTGATGAAAATAAGAATTTACTATCGGTTGTCTGTCTGGTAACCGGTTACATTTGAATCTAACATAAAAAACAAGGCAGTGCAAGAAAAAGGAAATAGCAAACGCAATTGAAATACTCCAGAAAGCGGACATTTGGATAAAACAAACAGCAAAGCAAAAGTCAGCATACTACATTGGAATTCAAACGTATTACAAGAGACTACACTTACGCAAAAGCACAACAAAAATAAAAAAAAACCTTTCATCTATACTTCGAAAGAAAAAAAATACCTAATGAAGTTAAAGGTTCAAAATTTCATCCTCAGAGTCAAAACTAAAAGCAAATTGACTACATGATTAAAGGATTGCTGATGGATTATCACATGATTTCGATGGATTTGGTAATTGAAAAGTTTGTTACACACACTAAATTATAAGGCAAACAAAGAAGTAATCATGTACAGCCCGTCCTGAAATCCCTGTATTATTGTTAATATTCCTTGTAAAATAAGTAAAATAAAATATGTCTTCTTGCTAAATGTTGATATTATTCTTTTGCACCTCACATCCGTATATCTTACGTTGTAATGTTTACCTTGTGTCATGCATATACTTCACAGAAAAAATTACTGAGTTCTGAAAACGTCAGCCTTCTAGATTTACGTCAGAGTTAACGTCAGGGGAACCTGTACCTCTCAGCTTCCAGATTTACGTCAGATTTAACGTCAGGGGATCCTGTCCCTCCCAGCTTCCCCTCTTAATGTTTCTGATGATTTTGTCTTTATGAATCTTTTACAGCTGAGTTGGAGTCTAACTCCAAAATCACTGTTGTTGTTACTCTCAGCTTCCCCTCTGAATGTTACTGCTGATTTTCACTGTATGTATCTTTTACAGCTGAGTTAAAGTCCCTACTTAAACTCCCTACTCACTGTTTCATGCCTCGTGTTACTCTTACGTAGGAGTACGTGCAGCAGCCCGTAGTGGCTGAGCGTTTGTCAGTGTGCTCAAATTCTCAGAGGTAACG